ATGCGATCAAGGAAGACCTCAAAGAGAGAAGAGCAGAAGTGCTGGTAGATGTGGCAGAAGCTGGGAAAAGTATTCGTAACGCCCGCCTGTCCTTCGCCAACTACAAGACCAAGATGACTGTCCTCCGACGTCCTGATGGATCTGTCACATCCTCCAGAATGGCAATGGAGAAGATTATCCATGACTTCTACTCAAATCTCTTCGATAGCCATGTCCACTTGCTGACATACCAAATTCCACAGGATGGATATGTCGTTCCCAACGTTCTCCCTTCCGAAATCCGACATGCCATTTCGTCGGTAAAGAAACAAACAGCACCCGGCCCAGACAAGGTCAGACCTGAACACCTGAAGAACCTGCCGTCAGTACTCATCAATACACTGGCTCGGCTCTTCACTCGCTACCTGTCTGAATGCAAGGTTCCATCCTAATGGAAAACCAGCAGGACCGTACCACTGTTCAAGAAGGGGGACATCCATGACATTGGCAACTATCGCCCAATCTGCCTATTGTCTGTCATCTACAAGTTGTTCACTCGAGTCATCCTAAAGTATTGGCAGAACATTAGATGAAGGACAACCATGCGAGCAAGCCGGGTTCCGCAAAGGATTCAGCACCATCGACCATATCCACACGGTAACCAAGCTCATTGAGGTTTCTCGGGAGTTCAAGATGCCGCTCTGTTTAATGTTCATTGATTTAAAGAAGGCCTTTGATTCTATTGAGACAGAAGCGGTCATTGAAGCCCTAGCCAATCAGGGCATTCAAATCCAATACATCAAGATCCTCTGTGAGCTGTATTGCGGATTCACTACCAGGATCTCACCATTCTACAAAGAAGTGATCGTTGATGTCAAGAGAGGGGTTCGGCAGAGTGATACCATTTCACTGAAACTCTTCAGTGCCACCCTCGAGAACATTATGCGACGACTGGAATGGGAAGGAATGGGAGTGAAGATAGATGGTCAGCAACTACACCACCTCCACTTTGCTGATGACATTGTTTTAATAACACCAAACATCAGCCAAGTGGCACAAATGCTGGCCGACTTTGACCGTGAGTGTGGAAAGGTAGGACTACAACTGAATCTTACGAAGACAATGTTTATGAGAAACAGCCTCGTTCCTGATGCCCATTCGCTCTCAACGGAACGACCATCTCTGAATGCAACAGCTATGTGTACCTAGGTCGAGAAGTCAACATGACAAATGACCTGGCACCCGAGCTGCGCAGGAGGAAGAGAGTGGCTTGGAACGCCTTCAAGAACGTCGAAGAAATAGCTAAGAGGACGAAGAACCTCCGGCTCCAGGTACATCTCTTTGATTCCACTGTTCTTCCTGCATTAACATATGCCTCAGAGACCTGGGCCCTACGCAAACAGGATGAGAACGCTATTCAGGTCTCCCAAAGAAGAATAGAAAGAGCTATGCTTGGAATATCACGTTTCACTCAAATGAGAGAAAGAATCCGGAGTTCTGACATCCGTCGACGATCAAGAATCAGGGATGCTGTCTCATTTGCCAAGGTGTCGAAAATCAGATGGGCTGGTCACGTAATGAGATTTAAAGATGACCGACCGCTGGACTAGAGCTGTTACTGACTGGATTCCATGGGATGTCAAAAGACCGTGTGGCCGCCCACCTACCAGATGGTCAGACTTCTTCATCAAGATCATGAACGATCGGTTTGAGGCTCTTCATGTTCCCAGAGTGAAGAGATGCCATTGGGCTACACTAGCACGCAACAGGGACAAATGGAGACGTTACTGGCACCTGCTCGAGCAAATCGACGACTAACGGGAATTAAGTGTTTAGTGATTAAGTGATCAACCTCTTATTGGATGTGTATTTGGCGAATATCTTTTCCCATTCTTGAACTACAGCTATCTTAATCCCCATCACCTGTCACTATAGTTTCATCATAATTCCCTCCTTCCATGCTGCAGCCTAGAGAGTATCACAAGGCAATGAGCAAGAAGATCATGTTTGTTCTGCATGTCTTTTGTTTTTTCATTGCCAGATGTCTCATGTTTTGACATTAGTTTTCTTCGTGTATTTTGTTATGGTTAAAATTTTTGTTGTTGGGCCAGAGAGAGAGTCCCAGGGGTTAAGGTGCTTGCCTTGCCTATTGGTGACCCCATTCGTTCAATCCCCTACTCCCTGAGCAACACCAGGAGTGATCCTTAAGCAACGAGCTCAGAGCACTGCCCAGGGTATGGTCAACAAAACAAAAACAAAGAACAAAAACATTTTTGTTTGTGTAATTCTCCCCCCCTTCTTGCTTGGAAGTCTTCGTTTTTCCATTATCCTTTCACTTTCTACTCTGCCTCTCCCATTATGTTCTCTTTCTTCTTTCCTAGTGTGACTTAGATCCTTAAATGCAGAGTCAGGAGTAAACCCTAAGCACTTCCAGGTGTGGCCCCCAAATGACAACAAAACAACAAAAGGACTTTGTACTTTGTACCAGATATACGTTTCTAGTATGGAGAATACCTTGATATACCAGACTGAAATTTTATGTTTAAATTGATCAAGAAAATCCAAAACCTAACATAGAAGGCAACATCTTAGAAATATCTTAGACTGGGCTTGAGCAATAGCACTGCGGGAAGGGCATTTGCCTTGCATACAGCAGACCCAGGTTTGATTCCAAACATCCCATATGGTCCCCCGAGCACAACCAGAAGTGATTCCTGAGTGCATGAGCCAGGAGCAACCCCTGTGCATCGCCGGGTATGACCCAAAAAGCAAAAAAAATATATATATATCTTAACCTAAGTCATTCATCAACAACTGAATTTGTCATACATGGATAAAGCACAAAACTTGGAATCAAGAATATCATATGAACTGAAGAATGCTCCCCTACCAAACACACACACCAGGCACAGCCTTTGGTAGGTAAATGATTCAGCCTGAAAAGCTATCAAGTTTTCTTTTGAACTTGGAATAGCAAAGAATACTTGTAAACCACCTTTAGAAATATGAAATAGACGATTATCAATCAGTGACAGCAATAGCACGGAAAACCAAAAGGGAGAAAACTTAAAGAAAAAAAATATAGAACTGAACCTACACACACTATAGGAAGCCTGAGCCCAGAGACAGAAATTTTCTGGCATTGCTTCTTTGCAGAAGTCATTTACAGAGATAATCCAGACCTTTGAATAGTGTGGGTGTTTCTGATTCTGCGCCTCAGAGGCTCTGTGAGGGAGGCCCAGATGAATTGAGCTCAGCTGCCTATAATAACAAACCACATATAAAACTGCTCATTATTTCCAATCAGATTTCAGATAGAAAATATTGACATAAAAAACTGCCCTTATTTTGTAGGCTTCCTTAATTTCTCTAGCCACTTCATAAGAAAGCTCTGTGGCTTTTTGGGCACCAAAAAAATGAATTAAAATTAAATATAAAAATTCTCAGTTCTCTGAGGTCCATATCCTGAAGAGTTCTGCTTCAGTGTATTTCATGGATTCTGGACTAATTTCAAAGTATTAAATCTACTGTATGGTGTGAGATATGGGTTCAATTTTATTTTTTGCATATGGCTATCTAAGTATCCCAGAGCCATCTGTGTGATGAAATTTTTCAACAAAATTTAATGCTCATTATGATTAATATTCAATAGGATGTAGATAGCTAGAATATCCCTCAACAGACTAAAGGACACAAAATATCTTTTAGATACAATACCATGTACAGTGGAAGGTTACAAAAGCATTACACTAGAACTTGTTGCATTTTTATATGTACATGATACATGAGAGAAAGAAAAAAAAACCCACTTACAACTATGTCCCTGCCCCCAAAGTATGAGGAATTAAACAAAGAGATGAAAGACTTATTAACTGAAGACTATCAATCATTATTTTAAAAATTGAAAAAAAACCCCCAAGGATATAGAAAGATACTTGGTACTGAGAATTACCACTGTTAAAATGAAAATCCTACCCAAAGCTTTATACAGATTAAATATAATCCTATCAAAATTTCAATAGCAGGGGCTGGAGCAATAGCAGAGCGGGTAGGGCGTTTGCCTTGCACCAGGTTTGATTCCCAGCATCCGATATGGTCCCCTGAGCACCGCCAGGAGTGATTCCTGAGTGCAAAGCCAGGAGTAACCCCTGTGCATCACCGGGTGTGACCCAAAAAGCAAAAAAAAAATTTTCAATGGCATTTATCAAAGATATAGATTATTAGGGAAAGACAATGTTGAGATATCATCTCACTCCAGTAAGAATGACACATATCAAAGAGCAGACAGATGAATGGATTATGAAAATGTAGTAAATATAACAACAGAATACTATGCAGCTGCCAGGAATAACAAAATCATGCATTCACTACAACTGGAACTAAGGGATAGTGAAGTAAGCCAGAAGAAGGAGAAATACAAAATGATTTCGCCTAGTTATGGCATGCAGAAAACTGGAGGAGGGAATCCAAGGTATTAAGGGGGGGGAATCACTCCATTACCTTTAACTCCAGAATATAGGAAGAAGGACAGAGACAGATAGAAATTGAGGGGATAGCAAGAAGAGGTGTACGGGAAATAACAAGGGGCAGCAATCGAGGGCCCTGGGTATAAGGGCAGTGGAGAGGAGTGGCATAGCTATAGATTGAAATCACAGAGTCAACAACACTGGAAGCATGAGTTCCAAACTACAGCATATTTTAGTACTTTTCACACCTTTTCAAGAGCCTTTATTTCTGTTTCTATAAATCTGACTATCTTACATATTTTATCTTTCAAATAGAATCACTTGATTTTTGTTACTGTCTTATTTCCATTAGTATAATTTCCCCAAGTTCTATGTGGTAGCATGCAATATCCTTTTCATGTATAAATAGTATTCTGTTGTTTGTATCGAGTATGTTTTGTTTATGCATCTATCAATAGACAGAATGGACACTTAGGTTGCTTCCATCAGTGACCTATTATAAACACTGTTGTTAGGAAGGTGGGTATGAATGTAGCTCTTCCAGAGAAATTTTTTTTTTGTAGGATGGGAGGGAAATTTATAGAGAAAAAACCATCTACCCAATATATCCTTCAGCCTGTGTCTTAATGTCCCAAAGTTTAATTCCAAAGCAAGGAAGCAGCCCCAAACTAGGCTTAGCACTTTGAGAGCAAAAAATCTAAACCTGTTTTACCCAGTGAAAGAAAACAGTGACTTTTCAAATGAAATAATTTTGCATTATGCTGATAAGAGCGATAGCACAGCGGGTTGGGCGTTCGCCTTACACGCGGCCAACATGGCCGACCCGAGTTCGATTCCTCCGCCCCTCTCGGAGAGCCCGGCAAGCTACCGAGAGTATTCGATATGCCAGACACAGTAACAACAAAGTCTCCAATGGAGACGTTACTGGGCCCGCTCGAGCAAATCGACGATCAACGGGAGGGCCTTTACCTTTTACCTTTTATGCTGATAAGAAACTGGGAGAAAAAAGTATTAAACACAAACATGTGACAATTGAGAGAAATGAAAGATAATACTACAGTTAAGCATATTTCTACTTAAGTATAGACAATGATTATTCATCTTCACAGCAAATTTCAATCTCCTTACCAGTAATTGTTACAATATCATCTTGATGAGCTTCATTCATTTCTTGAATAGGGACTTCAGAGTTCACATCAATCTCTTTCCCTGATAACCGTACATGAGCTTGAAGAGAAGGTGTGACCTTGACAAGAACAGAGCCTATGATAAATTTAAAGAAGAAATCATAAATGTAAAACATTAAAAATATCCAAGTCTAATATAGTAATAATTCAAGGGAAAGATTGGTCCTGGTACATTATTATTATTATACCTTAGCTTATTTTGTTGAAACAGCAGCATCTTTTTCTTACTCCTAGGAGGTCAATATTCCCTTATTCCTAAAGAATTCACAGTAACTTCAGTCAAGAGTATGAATAATTCGGACATTATGAACTGCTGTTCTTTCATTTCACCAACAGTCATGGTCAGCTAACCCAATACCAGAAGTATTATAGTTGTAGTTTGTAAATAAGATTCACCATTAATTAAGCATTTACTATGAGCCAGGGACCTTTATTATATTATTCCAGGGTCAACTTTATTAGATACTATTATAACCCTAATTTTTTTAAAATGCAATAATTACTTTATTGAAGCAATTCTATGTCTTCCTGTGGTAAGGATCTATAACATCTGTGGGAAATTACATTGTGATTTTTAGCGGGGGGGGGGGTAGAATCAAAACTAGGGATTCAGTGGAGCAGTGTGGTGGTAGTATATAACCCTAATTTTATAAATGAGAACTTGCTCAAATTCCCACAGTATTGGAATCTAGGCTTAGCTTAATGTCAAAACCCCATAACTTTAACCACTGTATATTTCACACAGTGCTACCTCACTGTATGATACAGCTCTGACCTCACTGATCAGTGTTACTCTGAACCTTACCTGACCAGCTTTTAATTATACTTTGTATGGTATGTGTGGGTCTAGAGCAATAGCACAGCAGGTAAGGCATTTGTCTTGCATGCGGTCGACCTGGGTTCAATTCCTCCACCCCTCTCGGAAAGCCCAGCAAGATAACGAGAGTATCTCGCCCGCATGGCAAAGACTGGCAAGCTTCCCATGACGTATTTGAAATGCAAAAAACAGTAACAGCAAGTCTCACAATTTGTTGTGAGACATTACTGGTGCCTGCTCCAGCAAATCGATGAACAATGGGAGAACAATGCTACAGTGCTATGTATGTGTGTGTGTGTGTGGGGGGGGGGGAGGGCAGGGGGCAGGTAGCAATTTTTTAAAAAGGGAATATCTGAACTTCAAATAATTTTTTTCCAGCAGATCACTGGCTTTTAGGCTCCTGAAGTAAGTCTCTTGTTTATGTCCACTACAATCTTACAATTCTAGTTTCTGAAGGAGGAAACAGTATTCTGCCAGCCATAGAATATTTCAGATTATGTGGTTTATAGTATATGCTCAGGAGCACACTCATATTTCATAATTTTTTTGTTTCTCATGTCAAAATAAAAGGCCTCTATCAACAGCATGAACTGTAGACAAAGATGGTCAGGATAACATCCATTATAAAGGTTGTAAACATATGGAAGGAAAAAGATTCCTTTCAGTGTGTGTATGTGTGTTTGTGGTGTGTGGTATGCGTGTGTGTGTGTGGGGGGCGTCATAGTTTTCCTTTGAGTTTGGTTAGTTTTTTGCTTAAGTTTTCTTAACTAAGTTTGTATTTTCTCAAGTTTTCTGAAGGAACTGGAAGTTTGGGGTAAAGCCAAGAAACTTGGGATGAGGAGGTAACACTGGAGTTAGGGGTATGTACTTTGTATGTGTCCAACCCTGGTTTGACCTCTAGTACTATATGGAGGCCCCAGCCCTGCCAGGCACTGAAGTGTGGTTCTTGTGGTCCAGGTACAGTGGGGCCCTTGCAATAAACGACTGGCCTGGGTAGACCAAGTACCACTAGGGATAGACTCCAGCTTGAGAGGTCCTTCAAGCTCCAAAAAAATGTATAATCTCTCACATTCGCTCCTCAAAAAAGGCGGAAAATGAAGTTATCAGTAAAAATTATTTTATTAGTGAAACATGGATTTTCAGGGTTTAAAGGTGGAAATTAAGACTATAAATTTGTTTTTACTTTGTATTTCTAAATTCATCAAATGTGATAACTTCTTAAATCTCTCGTCCCCCTCCCCCCTCCGACACATTCCTGGTTTTTGGATTACAGCTGGTTGTGCTCAGGGCTTACTCCTGGCTCTGTGCTCTGGCACTCCATATGAACAACATATGGGGTGGCGGAAATCGAATCTAGGTTGGCTGCACGGCCTATTCTTTACCTCTTTGGCTCCTGCACATCTTTTGACCTTCTTAAATGAATACCAGAATCTTGATTATGTGAGATATTTAAAAGTATTAAGCAATGTAAATAATTTACCCATTCTCTCCATATCCTTAAAAATACATAAAAAAAACCCTTCACTACCAAAATTCCAATACTGATTGTGAATGAACAATTTTATGACCTGATTACTTTTACAAATGTCCCAGCTTTAAAACTACTTTTAAAAAAGAGATCTCTAGTTATGTCTTCAGTCTCTTTTTACTTCATAAACTGCTTCATGGGTATGGACATCAATAGCTTTACATTTTTCCTTTTAAGAAGTGAACTGTTAGAGGAGGGAAGTTCTGATGATGGGATTGGTGTTGGAGCACCGTATGTCTGTAACTCAACCATGAATAACTGTAAATCACCATCCCTTAATAAATATTTTTAAGCAAAATAAAAAGTGAAATAATACTAATGGTACCATTTGTTGAAGGTATACTATGTGAAGATTTCCATGTGGTTTCTTCAAGGCAAATTTTAAGTGGAAAAATCAATACTCAGATATGGGTCTGACACTTGAGCCTAAACACAGTCTTTCAGAATGAAATAATGCCACCATGTCAAATTTTACAGGAAGGAAGAAAACAAGCACTGTAACATCCTTTTCCACATGGTGAAATAAAGAAGACCTAAGGGACCCAAATGTCTGGAACTGAACCTATAGCAAGACAGTGGCCCATTGGAATGGATTCCAGATGTCTATATTAACTATTAGACATCTGAATAAGATACTGAATAACTTTCCATTACTCCAAAAGTTACTGTTTCCAAGTATAGTGAGAATTGAAGAGAATTGAAGTAAGAATTCTTTTGTTTCAAGTTACCTTTAAACTTATGCCAGTAATAAGGCCCCAGCAGGAAAAACACAAAGTAGTAATTCTAATCAAATTTTGCAATATCCCATGCTATTTTAACAAAGATAATAAATAATATTATATATAATATGAAAATATTTTAAGAGATTAACAATGTCTTTATTATTTGTTTTGTTTCTCTTTTTCCCCCATTCACACTAAATAAGAAATAAGTATCAAATAAGAGCAACTTTGTCAAAATTTAGTTTTCCCTGTTATCTATTATACTAAAAAGAGTAATGGTTTATATGGTCTCTCCTAGTCTTTGAAATAAGAGAATGCAATTAAATTATTTACATGGCATTTACAAAATATCCTGAATTTATTATCAAAATTCTTTAAGAGTTTAGTGAGGTTATTCTACTTTAAACATAAATAAATGTGATCTTGAGAAACAACTTTTGTTTCAAACCCTGTGTTTTATTGTTGTCTTTTGACACTGAGAGGAGAACCTCAGAAAACAAAGAAGTGCTAAACCAACAAGGGTAAGAAAGGACTGATGCAGAAATTCCTGAGTTGTAGAGAAAGAGTTTCCTTGTTATAAACCCTATCCTGACAATATGCAAGAGCTCTAACCTTTTTAACAGCTAAACTTTTGCACTCAGGCTACATTAGACTCATCTGATAAAGCTACGCCAAGCACTCAAGCCACTGGCTACCCAGGTGCACGTGCATGTATAGGACTCAGAGGTTAATCCATTGTAATAAAAAACTTGGACTCTTAGAGTAACTTATTTGTGGTTTTCTTGTTGTTGCTGTTGTTGGGATATAACTGGTAATGTTAGCTGTGTACTCAAGAAATACTCCTGGTGTTGTTCAAGGGTGCAAGGCAAGCTCTCTGTCCACCATACTAATTCTAGCCCCAGGTTATTTGTATTTAAGTTAAGTTATAAAAAAGAGATATATTGTAAGTCTTGAAACTTTAAGAATCAATAATCAATTTAGAAAATCTTCCTTTATTTCAAAATCTCACTTTGGAAAATTACCATAATGATCTGAGAAGATTCTTTCACAGGTTGGTAGAAAAGTTTCCTCCCCCAAACAAAAACTTATGGGAGCAATTTATCTCCAAAGAATATGCTAAGAATATTCTACTAAATTTTCTATAATTCTAATATTATACATTCAGACATAAAACTACAATGAAGAAACCAGAGGGAGAGAAACAAATAAAGAAACTTCCTAGAAGCATATCAAATGCCCAAAGGCAACAGAAACGAAGAGCAGATGAACTGGTTGTCCGTAGGACGTGGGGCTCTGGGGCAGGGGTGGGGATGAAGGTTAGGTTAGGCAAGGGAACACCAGAACAATCATAGGAGGGGAAATGTGCCTGCTATAGAGGCAGGCAGGGTGGTGGGAGAGAAACTGGGGCACTGGCAGAGGGTAGTGGACACTGGTGAAGGGATTATTGTTGGAACATTATATGCCTGAAATTCAATCACAGATATCTCTGTAAATTTGTAATTAATGGTGATTTGATAAAAAAAATATTTTTTTAAAAAAAACCTAAACTAAAAAACCCAAAATGCCAACATTAAAAAAATTAAAGGCCAGAGTGACAGTACAGTGGGTAGGGCACTTGCCTTTTACATGGCCTGTCTAGGTTCAATCTCTGGCATCCCACATGGTCCCCTGAGCACTGCCAGGAGTGATTCCTGAGCACAGAGCCAGGAGTAAGCCCTGACAACTGCCAGGTGTAGACCCCTTCCTCAACCAAAAAATAAAAATAAAAAAATCAAATAAATCAAATGTTAAAATTTACTGTTTTAGTTTAATTTAAATCCAATGTTTAAGAAGTAGTAATAAGCCACAATATTTGTTTGTACTACAAAATCAAACTTATGACTACATCATGAACACCTTAAAGATCACTATTCTAGAAAGTAAGTCTTTTAAATCAGACTCTATCAGAAGAAATTTTTTGAACTTCTATGTTAGTCAAGATAATCTGATCATTTATTTCTTCAATATCACACAATACTTTCCACAAAACCTTCCTTATATCATATTTCAGTGTAAAACATCATACTTGACAAACCTTGATGAGATTTCAAGTCTACTTTCCCCAGTTGGCTGATATAGACATCTATGGCACCCTGATCAGTTAAGGCATTTAGACATCCAGAGGAGGAATCTAGGAGAAAGAAAAATCATAAGCATAATTATTATTGAGTAATTGGAATAAGAATCTTAACAGGGCCTATCTTCAGTATTAGGATAAAGAGCTTGAGACATGCAAGATTTAATACTTCATTTTAAGTACATATCTTTAGTTTTTAAAGTCAATCAGAAATTTAGATGCTGGACCTACAAACTCAACAGAATAAATAAATCCTAAGCCAAAGTAACCCATACAACTTATTTCTAATACATTTACTCTAATAAATACCCATACACTAATGGGTATGCAAATAATAGTCTGATCTCTATGGTCATTAAGCATCATGAATACATTTAGTTTATCATCAACTTGAATATTTACCAAAAAAGAGGATCTCACTGTACTGTCACATATAAATAAATAATATTAAAGTTAACAAAAAAAATAAAACCTCTTACATAATTTCTTCTTTTAGCAAATCTGTTAGTACTATGGAGAGATTAGCAATACTTCTGCCAAGTTTTAATTGAATTTTCTCTTAATTTTCTTTTAATTGAATTTAGATGCTGAAATGGATGGATCATTTGAAGAGACTTGGATGGATCATTTGAAGAGACTTATGTTTGTTTATATCCAGTAATTATTTTCTAAAGCTTTTGAAATTAAGCAGATATTTTTAAGATAGGGTTGGGGCAGGAGAGATAGTACAGTGGGTAAGGTGCCTGCCTTATGAGTGGTCGACCCAAATTTGATTCCCAGCACTTCATATGGATTCCTGAGTCCCACCAGGAATGACTCAAATGCAGAGCCAGGTGCAAACGCTGAGCACTGCAAGGATTGTTCCTCCCAGCCCCCTAAAAGGCAAAGAGAGGAAAAACATGCTAGTCTTTGCTTTACATTCAACTTTGCTTATGTTACTTTGACCCCATGTCCACCAGACAACATTTCAAATTCAAGGGAAAGCTGATAGAAGTCAGAGAAAACTAGTAAGAGAAGGTTGAAATGTCAGTGCTAAGTAGCTTCTCCTTCTTTCCCCCTTTCCATGACATGTGAACTTTTAATTTAATACTTTTTAAAAAAATCAATCTAATATTCTAACTGCCTTAAAAATTTCTAAGCCTTCTGTAAATTGGATTCTTTTAGAGAGGTCTCTGGAAAATTATATTTTATCAGACAATTTTATTCAAAATATAATATAGGGGGTGTGATAAAAAAATTGCCAAAAATTAAATTACACTTTTTTAGGGGCTACTTCCAGTAGTTTCCAGCAAAGGGTGCAGTGGGGATGCTTTGAGACCACCAAGGCCACACCCAGCAGTGGGGTATTATGGGGGTGATGATAACCATCACCTGGTGGTTCTTGGGGGAATAGGGAAGATGCAGTATGGGGGATCAAACTCAGGGTCTTTGCACATGCTAGGAATGTGCTCTGCTACTTGAGCTTTCTCCCTCAGTTCCTATGCTTTCTATAAAACGTGGAGTGAAAACATTTATTTATTTACAAAAGACTCAACATTTGCTCTAACATAAATTTTAAACAACTCCATACAAAGGCAACTTTGGAACAGATTTTTCAAAATTTTACCAAAGGACAATTTATTTTAACCCACTGCTAATCCACACTGATGAAGCCCTTTATCAGACCCAATTTCTTTCTTTCTTTTTTTTATTTTATTTTACTTTTTTATTTTTTTTCTTTTTTTTTCCAATTTATTTATTTCTTAAGTGTAAAAGTAAACACTGACATTGGGAAATTAAATCACAAGAGATAATGACATAAATAGTAGTATTTCTCCCCTCAGATACCAACAGGAAATCCTTTACAAAATACCTTATTGTTTTCTAAAAAGATCACTTGATCATTTGACTTCCCGTTAATCTTCGATTTGCTTGAGCGGACTCCAGTAACGTCTCCATTCATCCCTGTGGCATGCTAGTGTAGCCCAATGGCGTCTGTTCATTCTAGGAACACAAAGAGCCACAAACCGATCGTTCAGCATCTTGATGAAGAAGTCTGACCATCTTATAGGGAGGTGGCCATGAGGTCTTTTGACATCCCATGGAATCCAGTTGGTAACAGCTCTAGTCCAGCGTCGTCTCCAAATCTCATTATGTGTGCAGCCCATCAGACTTTCAATGCCTTGGCAAATGAGACAGCGTCCCTGATTCTTGACCATTGACGGAGGTTGGAACCGTGGACTCTTTCTCTCATTTGAGTGAAGCGTGATACTCTAAGCATAGCTCTTTCGATTCCTCTTTGGGAAACCCGAATAGCGTTCCCATCCTGTTTGCATAGCGCCCAGATCTCTGAGGCGTATGTTAATGCAGGAAGAACAGTGGAATCAAAGAGATGTGCCCGGGGCCGGAGATTTTTCGTCCTCTTAGCTATTTCTTTGACGCTCTTGAAGGCATTCCAAGCCACTCTCTTCCTCCTGCGCAATCAGGTGCCAGGTCATTTGTCATGTTGACTTCTTGACCTAGGTACACATAACTGTTGCATTCGGAGATGGTCGTTACATTGAGAGTGAATAGAATGTCAGGAATGAGACCTTTTGTCATAAACAATGTCTTTGTAAAATTCAGCTGTCGTCCAACCTTTCCACACTCATGGTCAAAGTCGGCCAGCATTTGTGCTGCTTGGCTAATGTTTGGTGTTATTAGAATGATGTCATCAGCAAAGCGGAGGTATGTAGTTGCCGACCATCTATCTTCACTCCCATTCCTTCCCATTCCAGTCATCGCATGCCGTTCTTGAGGGTGGCACTGAAGAGTTTTGGTGAAATGGTATCACCCTGCTGAATCCCTCTCTTGACATCGATGATCACTTCTTTGTAGAATGGTGAGATCCTGCTAGTGAATCCGTAATACAGCTCACGGAGAGGATCCTGATGTATTGAGTTTGAATGTCCTGATTGGCTAGGGCTTCAATGACCGGTTCTGTCTCAACAGAATCAAAGGCTTTCTTCAAATCAATGAACGTTAGACAGAGCAACATCTTGAACTCCTGACAAACCTCAATGAGCTTGGTTATCGTGTGGATATGGTCAATCATGCTGAATCCTTTTTTGGAAACCAGCTTGCTCGCATGGTTGTTCTTCGTCTAGTGTTCTGCCAATCCTATTCAGGATAACTCGAGTCAACAGCTTGTAGATGATATATAATAGGCAGATCGGGCGATAGTTGCCAATGTCATGGATGTCTCCCTTCTTGTACAGTAGTACAGTCCTGCTGGTTTTCCACTGGGACGGAACCTTGCATTCAGAGAGGTAGCGTGTGAAGAGCCGAGCCAGTGTATTGATGAGTACTGATGGCAGGTTCTTCAGGTGTTCAGGTCTGACCTTGTCTGGGCCAGGTGCTGTTCATTTCTTTACCGACAAAATGGCATGTCGGGTTTCAGAAGGGAGAACACTGGGAACGACATATCCATCCTGTGGAATTTTGTATGTGGGCAGGTGGACGTGGCTATCAAAGAGATCTGAATAAAAGTCATGGATAATCTTCTCCATTGCCCTCCACTACCTCCACTACCCAGCTGCTGCCACGCTTCAGGATGCTTTCTGGATGCTCGGGCCAAGACTCACACACGACTGAAGCCCCACAGAACAAGATAAGTGGAACTCTGAGCCCTTGGACACCAGGCTCAATGGACCCTGGGACAGAGGTCCTCTGCCTGCTCCCACCAACCACAGGAGATGAAGGGACTAAAACCAGGAGCCCCACCCTATCCTGCCCTGTCTGCTTCCACAAACCACCTGCGACCCAGGGATTGGATTATGCACAGAAAACCCACCCTACCCCTACCGGTACCAGATAAATACCTCACCAGCAGACCTCCACTACCTCACTACCCAGTTGCCGCCACACTCCAGGATGCTTTTCGGATCACGCGGAGCTTTGCGGTCCTGTGACATATTATAATACACTTACCTATCTTCCAGAATTATTGTACCAAATTTGATAGGGCAGAAATATGGTTTGAACCATGGGAACACCTATAAGGGCGATTAGAGGCCGCCCCAAAAGCCTCTATCCCTCTTGGAGAGCCTGGCAAGCTACCAAGAGTATTCCACCCACACGGCTGAGCCTGGCAAGCTATCCGTTGTATATTCGATATGCCAAAACCAGTAATTACAGTGGGTCTCATTCCCTTGATCCTGAAGGAGTCACCAATACAGCAGTGTTGAGAAGGATGAGGAAGGAGAAGCTGATAATATCTCAAGGTCAATCTAGGCTGCAAAACGAAGAAAGACAAAAATGATTGTCTGTATTTTCAATGCACGTATAATGGCATCAGATGCATCCATTGAGGACCTGACGGTACAAGCGTGAAAGATCAAGTACGGTATCATTGGTCTGACCGAGACAAGAAGGCATCAATCACATCACATCACATCACGCCGTTTTCGACACTGGAGATGAACTGTTCCTCGGAACATGTGATCAAAGAGGCATCGAAGGTGTCGGTGTCCTTGTCAACACGAACTTGACCATGATCATTGATTCATTCGAATGCCTAACAACCCGAACCGGAAGACTACACTTGAATAAATGTGGCTCACTGCTGGCAGTTTTTATCTTCTATGCACCAACATCCGGTTATGATGAAGGAGAAATTGACAAGTTCTACATGGAGCTGGAGAAGTTCTATAAAGAAGACCACACCTTCTACAAGATTATTGTAGGTGATTTTAATGCCAAGCTAGGACCGAGAAGATCAGCCGAAGAACTCCACATCAGGACCCATGGCCTAGAATGAAACGAACAGGGTGACAGACTGTCTGAGTTCATCATGTTGACCAAGACCATCCATGATAACTCACAGTTCCAGAAGGCCGAATCTAAATGTTGGACATGGGAGTCTCCCTGTGGTTAGTTCCACAATAAAACTGACCACATCATATTCAATTAATGGTTTTGCCTGACTAATGTTGCTGTTGTCCCAAAATTCCAAATGGGATTGGACCACCGTCTCCTTTGTGCAAAATTCTACTTTACAGAGCGGGGAGAAAGGGCTGCAAAGATTAACAAGAGAA